ACTCATGCACACACAGACACACACTCACATACTCACACAGAGACATACACTCACACACACACACCCGGAGACACACACACTCATGCACACACAAAGACACACACACTCACATATTCATACTCACTCACATACAGACACACACCCAGCCTGAGACACATTCACATACCCACACACAGACACACACACACACACACATATACAGAGACACACACTCATATACAGACACATACCCACCCAGAGGCACACATACTCATGCACACAAACACACACTCTTACATACACACCACACAAACCCACACACTCTCACTCACATGCAGACACACACACCGCATACAAACACACACCCTTGCTCACACAAGACACACACTCATGCACGCAGACACACACACATACAGAGACACACATTCACGCACACAAACACAGCCATATACACGCTCGCGTGCACACACAGACACACACACCAGCTACCCTGAGCTCTAACTCACAGGCCACACAGCTCAGCCATGAGCCTCCAGTTCAGTCCTGGGGACGCTGACGGCATGCCAACGGGATTTCATGACACGGGCCTGCTCCTGTCAGGATGTGAGACCGCGAGCTTCCCCTCCCACCGTGTCTGGACACCCACCACAAGGAGGACACCTGCAGCACGGGCCTTTGCTCTGCTCACAGACATGGGCGGGCGGGGCGGGGGATCGGAATGGAGATGAGGGAATTTTCCCGCCCACCAGTGTCCTGAAACCCCCTGGACGAGTGACCTGCGGGCATTCGAGGAGCCCGGTGGCTCATCGGTGAAGCGCTCAGCTGCAAAGGGAAGGGTCAGCAGTTGGAAGCCGCCCGAGGCTCCGCCCATCGGCTCCCCATAAAGATGCTAGTCCGGGAAGCCCCAGGGCAGTCCTATCCTGTCCCGTAGGGTCACTCTGGCTAGGACGACCCGCCTGCAGCTGATGTAGCTGGAAGTGAAATGATACAGGCGGAGGCTTTCGGCAACTCCAAACCCCACAGCCATCAAGTCCACGCCG